ATTTTCCTTCCTCATGATGCCATCTATTTTGTGAAGTGCACCAGTCCCTCCTGCAGCAAAGCACCCCCACAGCATGATGCTGCCACCCCCGTGCTTCACGGTTGGGATGGTGTTCTTCAGCTTGCAAGTCCCCCCTTTTTCCTCCAAACATAATGATGGTCATTATGGCCAAACAGTTATATTTTTGCTTAAATCAGACCAGTGGGCATTTCTCCAAAAAGTACAATCTTTGTCCCCATGTGCAGTTGCAAACCGTAGTCTGGCTTTTTTATGGCGGTTTTGGAGCAGTGGCTTCTTCCTTGGTGAGCGGCCTTTCAGGTTATGTCGATATAGGACTCGTTTTAGTGTGGATATAGATACTTTTGTACCGGTTTCCTCCAGCATCTTCACAAGGTCCTTTGCTGTTGTTCTGGGATTGATTTGCACTTTTCGCACCAAAGTACGTTCATCTCCAGGAGACAGAACGCATCTCCTTCCTGAGCAGTATGACAGCTGCGTGGTCCCATGGTGTTTATACTTGCGTACTATTGTTTGTACAGATGAACGTGGTACCTTCAGGTGTTTGGAAATTGCTCCCAAGGATGAACCAGACTTGTGGAGGTTTACCATTTTCTTTCTGAGGTCTTGACTGATTTCATTTGATTTTCCCATGATGTCAAGCAAATAGGCACTGAGTTTGAAGGTAGGCCTTGAAATACATCCACAGGTACACCTCCAATTGACTCAAATGATGTCAATTAGCCTATCAGAAGCTTTCAAAGCCATGACATCATTTTCTGGAATTTTCCAAGCTGTTTAAAGGCACAGTCAACTTAGTGTATGTAAACTTCTGACCCACTGGAATTGTGATACAGTGAATTATAAGTGAAACAATCTGTCTGTAAACAATTGTTGGAAAAATGACTTGTGCACAAAGTAGATGTCCTAACTGACTTGCCAAAACTATAGTTTGTTAACAAGAAATTTATGGAGTGGTTGAAAAACAAGTATTAATGACTCCAACCTAAGTGTATGTAAACTTCCGACTTCAACTGTATAAAGGTGTTAGTGTGAGCCAGCCTGTGGAGAAGTGTAGGGGATAGAGTGTATGAGGGGATGTGTGTAGAGAGACGGTCAGAAGGAGACCAGTCAGACCAAGCAGAGAGCTACAGTATGATATTATTGTACAGAGGGATGAAAGAGAGGGAAAGAGTGAAATAAGAAAAAATGAGGGGAGAGAGCAGGAGAAAGGATAGAAGGGAAAGAGAGAGAAGGGGGATAAAAAGGGAAAGTGGCTGTGGCTACCCTTGGGGGACAGTCTGTGTAGGAGTTTAAAGAAGTGGATTCACTAACATCTTTCTCTCTCTCTCTCTAATTAGTTTGGGATGTTTTCTTAAAGCAGAGAGAGGGAAACATCTCTAAATTCAGAGCATTAGTTGCAGCTGCAGAAGTATCCTCCCCCCAACACACAGATCATGCAAAGCCCTAAAAAGCACAGAAAGAGCAGCTCGATCAAAACAGTACATATGAGTCACAGGACAGAACACGCAGCTGTTTAAATCAAAATCAAATCAAATCAAATTGTATTTGTCACATGCTTCGTAAACAACAGGTGTAAACAGGTGTAGACTAACAGTGAAATGCCTACTTATGGGCCCTTACCAATAATGCAGAGAGAAAAATGGAAAAAGAATAGAAAAAATACACAATTAGTAACGATAACTTGGCTATATACACGGGGTACCAGTACCGAGTCAATGTGCAGGGCTACAAGGTAATTGAGGTAGATTTGTACATATACTGTAGGTAGGGGTAAAGTGACTGGGCAACAAGATAGACAATAAACAGTAGCAGCAGCGTATGTGATGAGTCAAAAGGGTCAGTGCAGACAGTCCTCCCGTTATCTACCCATCCGCTCCCTCCATCTCTCTTTGGGATCTGACTGTAGCAGTTGTACTGTTCTTCGTCTGTCTGGAACTGTCCTTTATGTCCTCTCTGTGTAGTTGCTGTATGCTGTGACTCTGTTCAACTAGAAAGTCTTTATGTAAGACGCTGTAGTTCACTCAGTACTAGAATCCTATTGATGGAGGGAAAGAGGAGACAGAAAGAATGTTTGATGAACAATGATAAAATACAGAAGAATGGAACGGAGAGGCAGATAGAGGGAGAGAGAGGGGAACTCTCTGGCCAGGGTATAAATGACTGAGCTGGGTGATGGACAGGTAATTAATTATTGGTCCAATTGATTATTGGTTAATTGATTATTTGATTGGACTGATCATTGATTTATGACTCTTAGATGAGAGGAACATGTTTTGTTCCTGCCCCTGCTGTGTGTGTGTGTGTGTGTTCCACATCTCCTTTTCATTCCCATCCAATCTGGATGTGATAGGTCACACTGCATCGGATGCATCGCTCTCTCCAACTCTCTCTCTCTCTATGCAACACCATCAACGTTGTCACAGCAGGTAAACTGGCGTGTCAAGTAGACTCCATTATCTATTCTCTGACACATGCTGATCAGTCACAATGACGGCGTCACACACAGCAGCTACACATTGTCTGATTCTACCAGTGACATCTACAGCAGGTTGGTTAGGGACCGGGTCATTCTCAAACACACAGTCCAGGGTCCAGAGCTACTGGGTCCAGTACACCACAACTACACAGTTGTTCCATCTGGAAAGGCTCCAGCATCCAATAATCTTTTCACAGAGCTATGTTCGTTGCCAGGGCTGCAGTATTCTCAGATCTGTACATTCAGCCTTTACTATGATGGCAAAACATTGGTATCTAGTTTTAACAGATCTGTGTTTTTGGCCAGAGCTACAGTATCTAGTTCTAAAACATTTTGGCTGTTGGTGTTATGGCAGGTACATTTCCATCCTGCATCGTTTATATCTGTGTGTTTGGCTAGTATTTTAACAGTATCTAGTTTTCAGACATCTGTGTTTCTGGCTATTTCTATCTATCTAGTCCTTTCACATCTGTTGCTTTTGATTCTGCACATGAGGTTGTTTTGGCCATTGCTGTAATTGTGTGTAACAGATGGGGATAGGCACACATAGGCACACACACACACACAATAGGAGTGTTTTAGTGAGACCTCAGCAGCAGTAAATGCGTGTCCCTTAGATACCATGTAATCTGTCTCTGAGACACAACAGGTCTGTACCCATCCATTACGCACTGTTAGACTGTGATGATGATAAAGCCGCTGGTGTGTGTGTGTGTGTGTGTGTGTGTGTGTGTGTGTGTGTGTGTGTGTGTGTGTGTGTGTGTGTGTGTGTGTGTGTGCAGTTGTGGAAAAAGTACCCAATTGTCATACTTGAGTAAAAGTAAAGATATCGTAAAGGGTACCTAAAGGGTAATCATTTCCAGCACCACCCCAACGTCAACACAAAGATAGAGGAAGATAAATGTTTCCAATGACATCATCAGTGTGCATCATGTGATTTTAACCAATTATGCATTGAATAGGCATTGTCTACTAATTGCCTACTAATTGGTTGACGATGCCATTGGAAACACTTATCTTCCTCTATCATTTTAACTACAAAACATAGAAACACGCTATTTTCACATATGTTGATGTTTGGGTGGTGCTGGAGATGATGAATATGAAGTAAAAAATTGAAATGACCCTTTAATAGTAAAATGCTACTTGTGTAAAAGTCTAAAAGTATTCCGTTTTAAATATACTTAAGTATCAAAAGTAAATGTAATTGCTAAAATATACTTAAGTATCAAAAGTAAAAGTATAAATCATTTCAAATTCCTTATATTAAGCAATCCAGACGGAACCATTTTTGTCTGTTTTAATGGATAGCCAGGGGCCATCTCCAACACACATAATTTACAGACAAACCAAGTGTGTTTAATGAGTCAGATCAGAGGCAGTAGGGATGACCAGGGATGTTCTCTTGATAAGTGCGTGAGTTGGACCATTTTCCTGTCCTGCTAAGCAATCAAAATGTAATGAGTACTTTTGGGTGTCAGAGAAAATATATGTAGTAAAAGGTACAATGTTTTTTATTTAGGAAGTAGAAGTAAAAGTTGTCAAAAAAATTAATGGTAAAGTACAGATACTTATAATAATAATAATAATAATAATAATAATAATAATAATAATATGCCATTTAGCAGACACTTTTATCCCAAGCTACTTACAGTCATGTGTGCATATATTTTTACGTATGGGTGGTCCCGGGGATCGAACCCACTACCCTGGCATTACAAGCGCCATGCTCTACCAATTGAGCTACAGAGGACCACTTTTAGTATTTTTACTTAAGTACTTTACACCACTGTGTGTGTGTGTGTGTGTGTGTGTGTGTGTGTGTGTGTGTGTGTGTGTGTGTGTGTGTATGATAGGCCCTCTGATTAGCTGTATCAGTGATGGAAGTATTGATATAAGAGTTGATCAACAAAATGATGAATACATCCTTCACACAGATGCAATTAAGAGTCTCTGAATATATTAGCCTCCCCTACCTACTGTAGCAGTAGTACAGATGTCTGTCTGTGAGCCTCCTTCACTAAAGCCTTGTTCACATTGGCAGTTTGAAGTGACTCGAATAACAAAACAATTACAGATTCCAATCTGTTCTTTTTCCTGCAGTCTGAACAGCCAAAAAGCACATGAAATCAGATATTTCAAGCCAAATACAAATCTGATTCCTGGCCGAACGGTCAAATCGTATTTATTTGCCATGAAGTCATTTTTAGACTGTTATTTGCCATATCTTGTTGACTGCTAGCTACTCTGTTGACAGTTTGACAAGAACATGTGGTAGCTGACTAGCTTGTTATTGTTTACAAACTAATTAGTGAATGTGCTAGAAAGCTAAACAGCTACCTAGCTAGCTAGTTGACTGCAATGGATAGCCAAAACGGACTCGTTTTGAAAGTTGGATCATACGATAAACTCTGTGTGACCAGGGACAATGAAAGGAGAGAAGAGGAGAGGAGGAGAGAAGAGAGGATGAGAAAGAAGAGGTGAGAAGAGGAGATGATAGGAGATGAGAGAAGAGGAGAGGAAAGAGGGGAGAGGAGAGGTGAGAACAGCTGAAGAGTGGAAAATTAAGCTGTCACCTCACCGTCTATAGCACAGACATAATCACACACAACATGCATGTAAACCGCTCGAAGCGTGACCAACATGTCTAAAATAAATGACAGGCGTGAACACAGATGTGTCTGTGTTATAATTGTGACCCAAACCTTGCTCAGATAATCCCTACCATTGTGTTGTCTTAGTGCTGCTGTAAATGTACAGTGCATTCGGAAAGTATTCAGACCCCTTTACTTTTTCCCCATTTTGTTACGTTGCAGCCTTTTCTGAAATTGATTAAATTGTTTTTTTCCCCTCATCAATCTACACACAATAACCCATAATAACAAAGCAAAAACAGGTTTGTAGACAACTGAAGTATCACATTTACATAAATATTCAGACCATTTACTCAGTACTTTGTTGAAACACCTTTGGCAGCGATTACAGCCTTGAATCTTCTTCGGTATGACGCTATAAGTTTGGCACACCTGTATTTGGGGAGTTTCTCCCATTCTTCTCTGCAGATCCTCTCAAGCTCTGTCAGGTTGGATGGGGAGCGTCGCTGCACAGCTATTGTCAGGTCTCTCCAGAGATGTTCGATGGGGTTCAAGTCCGGGCTCTGGCTGGGCCACTCAAGGACATTCAGAGACTTGTCCCGAAGCCACTCCTGCGTTGTCTTGGCTGTGTGCTTAGGGTCATTAGGATCTCTCTGTACTTTTCTCCGTTCATCTTTCCCTCGATCCTGACTAGTCTCCCAGTCCCTGCCGCTCAAAAACATCCCCACAGCATGATGCTGCCACCACCATGCTTCACCGTAGGGATGGTGCCAGGTTTCCTCCAGACATGACGCTTGGCATTCAGGCCAAAGAGTTCAATCTTGGTTTCATCAGACCAGAGAATCTTGTTTCTCATGGTCTGAGAGTCTTTAGGTGCCTTTTGGCAAACTCCAAGCGGGCTGTCATGTGCCTTTTACTGAGGAGTGGCTTCTGTCTGGCCACTCTACCATAAAGGCCTGATTGGTGGAGTGCTGCAGAGATGGTTGTTCTTCTGGAAGGTTCTTTCATCTCCACAGAGGAACTCTGGAGCGCTGTCAGAGTGACCATCGGGTTCTTGGTCTCCCCCCTGACCAAGGCCCTTCTCCCCGGATTTCTCAGTTTGGCCGGGCGGCCAGCTCTAGGAAGAATCTTGGTGGTTCCAAACTTATTCCATTTAAGAATGATGGAGGCCACTGTGTTATTGGGAACCTTCAATGCTGCAGAAATGTTTTGGTACCCTTCACCAGATCTGTGCCTTGACACAATCCTGTCTCGGAGCTCTACAGAGAATTCCTTGGACCTCATGGCTTGGTTTTTGCTCCGACATGCACTGTCAACTGTGGGACCTTATATAGACAGGTGTGTGCCTTTCCAAATCATGTCCAATCAATTGAATTTACCAAAGGTGGACTCCAATCAAGTTGTTGAAACATCTCAAGGATGATCAATGGAAACAGGATGTACCTGCACTCAATTTCGAGTCTCATAGCAAAGGATCTGAATACTTATGTAAATAAGGTATTTCTGCTTTTTATTTTTTAAACTTGTTTTTGCATTGTCATTGTTGGATATTGTGTGTCGATAGATGAGGGAAATGTTTTATTTAATCCAGTTTAGAATAAAGCTGTAACGTCACAAAATGTGGAAAAAGTTAAGGGGTCTGAATACTTTTCGAATGCACTGTACATTGTCCCAGGGGCGTTGGCAGTCATAATGTAAGTAACCTAATTTATGTCCCTCTAACTCCCCTGAATGCCTCTGACAATCCTACAGCTATTTTATGCAGGAATCATGTGCCTATGAACCTGAGTTATACTGTTGGAACTGAGGCAGTTTGCTCTAGTAGGAAGTCCACTGTAGTTCACCCTGCACTATCAGCTCAAACATAATTATCATGTCTACCTCTGATAAGCCTCCCAGTAAAGCAATAAAAACAATCAAGAATCTCAGAAAAGTGCAAAAACTAGCCCATATTAACATATGCCTAAGAAGCAAGGTTCATGAAATCGATAACTTGCAAGTAACAGATATACTGACTATCTCTGAAACTCACTTAGATAATACCTTTGATGATACAGTGATAGCAATACATGGTTTCAACATCTTCAGAAGAGACAGGAACGCCAATGGTGGAAGTGTTGCTGTGTATGTTCAGAGCCCTTTTCCTTTAAAGCTTAGAGAGGATCTCATGTCAAATGCTGTTGAAGTAATATGGCTACAGGTTCACCTGCCTCACCTAAAGCCCATTCTTGTGGGAAGCCGCTATAGACCACCAAGTGCTAACAGTCAGTATCTGGATAATATGTGTGAAATTCTTGATAATGTATGTGATATTAACAGAGGTATATTTTCTGGATGACTTAAATATTGACTGGTTTTCATGAAGCTGCCCACGCAAGAAAAAGCTTCAAACTCTAACCAGTGCCTGCAACCTGGTTCAGGTTATCAGTCAACCTACAAGGGTATTTACAAACAGCACAGGAATGAAATCATCAACATGTATTGATCACATCTTTACTAATGCTGCAGAAATCTTCTCTAAAGCAGTATCCAAATCCAACGGATGTAGTGGTCATAATATAGCAGCCATATCTAGGAAAACCAAAGTTCCAAAGGAAGGCCGAATGAATCAAATCAAATAAAATTTTATTGGTCACATGCGCCGAATACAACAGGTGCAGACATTACAGTGAAATGCTTACTTACAGCCCTTAACCAACAGTGCATTTATTTTAAACAAAAAAAGTAAAAATAAAACAACAACAAAAAAAAAGTGTTGAGAAAAAAAAGAGCAGAAGTCAAATAAAGTGACAGTAGGGAGGCTATATATACAGGGGGGTACCGTTGCAGAGTCAATGTGTGGGGGCACCGGCTAGTTGAGGTAGTTGAGGTAATATGTACATGTGGGTAGAGTTAAAGTGACTATGCATAAATACTTAACAGAGTAGCAGCAGCGTAAAAAGGATGGGGTGGGGGGGCAGTGCAAATAGTCCGGGTAGCCATGATTAGCTGTTCAGGAGTCTTATGGCTTGGGGGTAGAAGCTGTTGAGAAGTCTTTTGGACCTAGACTTGGCACTCCGGTACCGCTTGCCGTGCGGTAGCAGAGAGAACAGTCTATGACTAGGGTGGCTGGAGTCTTTGACAATTTTGAGGGCCTTCCTCTGACACCGCCTGGTATAGAGGTCCTGGATGGCAGGAAGCTTTGCCCCAGTGATGTACTGGGCCGTACGCACTACCCTCTGTAGTGCCTTGCGGTCGGAGGCCAAGCAGTTGCCATACCAGGCGGTGATGCAACCAGTCAGGATGCTCTCGATGGTGCAGCTGTAGAATTTTTTGAGGATCTGAGGACCCATGCCAAATCTTTTTAGTCTCCTGAGGGGGAATAGGCTTTGTCGTGCCCTCTTCACGACTGTCTTGGTGTGTTTGGACCATGATAGTTCGTTGGTGATGTGGACACCAAGGAACTTGAAGCTCTCAACCTGTTCCACTACAGCCCCGTCGATGAGAATGGGGGCGTGCTCAGTCCTCTTTTTTTTCCCTGTAGTCCACAATCATCTCCTTTGTCTTGGTCACGTTGAGGGAGAGGTTGTTGTCCTGGCACCACACGGCCAGATCTCTGACCTCCTCCCTATAGGCTGTCTCATCGTTGTCGGTGATCAGGCCTACCACTGTTGTGTCGTCGGCAAACTTAATGATGGTGTTGGAGTCGTGCCTGGCCATGCAGTCATGGGTGAACAGAGAGTACAGGAGGGGACTGAGCATGCACCCCTGAGGGGCCCCCGTGTTGAGGATCAGTGTGGCAGATGTGTTGTTACCTACCCTTACCACCTGGGGGCGGCCCGTCAGGAAGTCCAGGATCCAGTTGCAGAGGGAGGTGTTTAGTCCCAGGATCCTTAGCTTAGTGATGAGCTTAGAGGGCACTATGGTGTTGAATGCTGAGCTGTAGTCAATGAATAGCATTCTCACGTAGGTGTTCCTCTTGTCCATGTGGGAAAGGGCAGTGTGGAGTGCAATAGAGATTGCATCATCTGTGGATCTGTTGGGGCGGTATGCAAATTGGAGTGGGTCTAGGGTTTCTGGGATAATGCTGTTGGTGCTCGGAGTACACGTCCTGGTAATCTGTCTGGCCCTGCGGCCTTGTGAATGTTGACCTGCTTAAAAGTCTTACTCACATCGGCTACGGAGAGCGTGATCACATAGTCATCCGGAACAGCTGGTGCTCTCATGCATGCTTCAGTGTTGCTTGCCTCGAAGTGACCATAGAAGTGGTTTAGCTCGTCTGGTAGGCTTGTGTCACTGGGCAGCTCGCGGCTGTGCTTCCCTTTGTAGTCTGTAATAGTTTTCAAGCCCTGCCACATCCGACGAGCGTCAGAGCCAGTGTAGTACGATTCAATCTTAGACCTGTATTGACTCTTTGCCTGTTTGATGGTTCGTCGGAGGTCATAGCGGGATTTCTTATAAGCGTCCGGGTTAGAGTCCCGTTCCTTGAAAGCGGCAGCTCTACCCTTTAGCTCAGTGCGGATGTTTCCTGTAATCCATGGCTTCTGGTTGGGGTATGTACGTACGGTCACTGTGGGGACGACATCATCGATGCACTTATTGATGAAGCCAGTGACTGATGTGGTGTACTCCTCAATGCTGTCTGAAGAATCCCGGAACATGTTCCAGTCTGTGCTAGCAAAACAGTCCTGTAGCTTAGCATCTGCGTCATCTGACCACTTTTTTATTAACCGAGTCACTGGTGCTTCCTGCTTTAGTTTTTGCTTATAAGCAGGAATCAGGAGGATAGAGTTATGGTCAGATTTGCCAAATGGAGGGCGAGGGAGAGCTTTGTATGCGTCTCTGTGTGTGGAGTAAAGGTGGTCTAGAGTTTTTTTCCCTCTGGTTGCACATTTAACATGCTGGTAGAAATTAGGTAGAACGGATTTAAGTTTCCCTGCATTAAAGTCCCCGGCCACTAGGAGCGCTGCATCTGGATGAGCGTTTTCCTGTTGATTAATGGCCTTGTACAACTCATTCAGTGCAATCTTAATGCCAGCATTGGTTTGTGGTGGTAAATAGACAGCTATGAAAAATATAGATGAAAACTCTCTTGGTAAATAGTGTGGTCTACAGCTTATCATAAAATACTCTACCTCAGGCGAGCAAAACCTCGAGACTTCCTTAGTATTTGATTTTGTGCACCAGCTGTTGTTTACAAATATACACAGACCGCCACCCCTTGTCTTACCGGAGTCAGCCGTTCTGTCCTGCCGATGTAGCGTATAGCCTGCTAGCTGAATGTTATCATTGTCGTCGTTCAGCCACGACTCGGTGAAACATAAGATATTACAGTTTTTAATGTCCCGTTGGTAGGATAACCGTAATCTTAAGTCGTCCACTTTATTTTCAAAAGATTGAACGTTGGCTAATAGGATTGATGGAAGAGGCAGTTTACTCGCTCGCCGTCGGATCCTTACAAGGCACCCCGATCTCCGTCCACGATATCTCTGTCTCTTCCTCACGCGAATGACAGGGATTTGGGCCTTGTCGGGTGTCTGTATGATATCCTTCGCGGCCACCTCGTTGAAGAAAAAATATTCGTCCAATACGAGGTGAGTAATCGCTGTCCTGATATCCAGAAGCTCTTTTTGGTTATAAGAGACGATGGCAGAAACATTATGTACAAAATAAATTACAAATAACGCGGAAAAACACACATAATAGTACAATTGGTTAGAGGGCTGTAAAACGGCAGCCATCTTCTCCGGCGCTGTTTGAGTAATAGTGTAATAGTGTATAAGAGGTCAAACAATACGTTTTGTAGTGATTCCTATGATAAAGATGTAAATAATATTTGCTGGTCTTAGGTGTGTAATGAGGGGCAACCAGATGCTTCACTTGACACATTTATGAAATTGCATATTCCAGTTACTAATGAGCATGCACCCATTAAGAAAATGACTGTCAAAACTGCTTAGTCCCTGTGGATTGATGAGGAATTGAAAAATGGTATGGTTGAGAGAGGGATGAGGAAAAAGGAATGGCAAATAAGTGGCTGCACCACCGATTGGCAAACATACTGTAAATTGAGAAATCATGTGACTAAACTGAATGAAAAGAAGAAGAAAAAATTAACTTGTTTCAAAAAATTATACAAAATAAATAACGGAAAAGTGGTGAGTGCATATGTATTCACCCCCTTTGCTATAAAGCCTCTAAATAAGATCTGGTGCAACCAATTACCTTCAGAAGTCACATAATTAGTTAAATAAAGTCCACGTGTGTGCAATCTAAGTGTCACATAATCTGTCACATGATCTCAGTATATATACACCTGTTCTGAAAGGCCCCAGACTGCAACACCACTTAGCAAGGGGCACCACCAAGCATGCGGCACCATGAAGACCAAGGAGCTCTCCAAACAGGTCAGGGACAACGTTGTGGAGAAGTACAGATCGGGGTTGGGTTATAAAACAATATCAGAAACTTTGAACATCCCATGGAGCACCATTAAATCCATTATTAAAAAATGGAAAGAATATGGCACCACAACAAACCTGCCAAGAGAGCGCCGACCACCAAAACTCACGGACCAGGCAAGGAGGGCATTAATCAGAGAGGCAACAAAGAGACCAAAGATAACCCTGAAGGAGCTGCAAAGCTCCACAGCGGAGATTGGAGTATCTGTCCATAGGACAATTTTAAGCCGTACACTCCACAGAGCTTTACAGAAGAGTGGCCAGAAAAAAGCCATTGCTTAAAGAAAAAAATAAGCAAACACGTTTGGTGTTTCGCCAAAAGGCATGTGGGAGACTCCTCAAACATATGGAAGAAGGTACTCTGGTCAGATGAGACTAAAATTTAGCTTTTTGGCCATCAAGGAAAACACTTTGTCTGGCGCAAACCCAACACCTCTCATCACCCCGAGAACACCATCCCCACAGTGAAGCATGGTGGTGGCAGCATCATGCTGTGGGGATGTTTTTCATCGGCAGGGACTGGGAAACTGGTCAGAATTGAAGGAATGATGGATGGCGCTAAATACAGGGAAATTATTGAGGGAAATCTGTTTCATTCTTCCAGAGATTTGAGACCGGGACGGAGGTTCTCCTTCCAGCAGGACAATGGCACTAAGCATACTGCTAAAGCAACACTCGAGCGGTTTAAGGGGAATCATTTAAATTATTTGGAATAGCCTAGTCAAAGCCCAGACCTCAATCAAATTGAGAATCTGTGGTATGACTTACAGATTGCTGTACACCAGTGGAACCCATCCAACTTGAAGGAGCTGGAGCAGTTTTGCCTTGAAGAATGGGCAAAAATCCCAGTGGCTAGATGTGCCAAGCTTATAGAGACATACCCCAAGAGACTTGCAGCAGTAATTTCTTCAAAAGGTAGCTCTACAAAGTATTGACTTTGGGGGGGTGAATAGTTATGCACGCTCAAGTTTTCAGTTTTTTTGTCTTATTTCTTGCTTGTCTCACAAGAAAAAATATTTTGCATCTTCAAAGTGGTAGGCATGTTGTGTAAATCAAATGATACAAACCCCTCCAAAAAAATCAATTTTAATTCCAGGTTGTAAGGCAACAAAATAGGAAAAATGCCAAGTGGGGTGAATACTTTCGCAAGTAAAGTAGTGGCCTGAGGGCACACACTTAAATTTTTTTATAACTGTCTTAATTTTGCTGGACCCCAGGAAGAGTAGGGGATCCATAATAAATACCCCCAAAAATGCAATACAAACTTCTGAAATTATTATTTTTTAAATTTAGCTCGACATTAAATTACTTCACCAATCAGTGCGGATAGAGCAGGGCAATCTTTGGTTGTTTACATGCGCGATGGACAGACAGGTGTAGGGCGCAAGATGCAACTGAAATTTGCAGGTGGGGAGAGAGCGAGAGAGGGTGTAGGACCCGAGGAGGAGGTTTGGCTTGAAGCGCTGGCCATTTTGTTATGTCATGCATTATCTGAATTAGGCCCGTAGAATTATACCTACGGAGGACTGGCTTCTATGGAGGAACTTTGAATGTCTTTGAACTTCCGAGAATTGGCTTAACGTTGGACCAGAGCTAGCCAGGTGGCTAACAAAATTGTGTGTGCAGAGGGGCACCAGAATAAATAAATAAAAACTTTTGGTAGTTAATAAATCCAATGTGGAACGTGATAACTTTAGTATCCTTAACTAGCATTGAAAAAGTTAATCCATTCTTCTGTAATTAAAAATCTCTCCCTAATTTCATGTGGTCCTCTGTTGCTCAATTGGTAGAGCATGGCGCTTGTAACGCCAGGGTAGTGGGTTCAATCCCCGGGACCACCCATACGTAAAAATTTATGCGCACATGACTGTAAGTCGGTTTGGATAAAAGCGTCTGCTAAATGGCATATTATTTTTATTTTTTTAAATCTGAATCACACTTGTAACGTCAGTAGGCTACAGTAGCCTATGCTTCAGATGGGGAGGGGCAGGTAGCCTACACACACACACACACACTGGTAAATATTTTCAGCTGGCAGGCAGACACTGGAATACGTTTCTGAGTGACAGAGTGAGGGCCTTGCATTGGCACTTGGTTGTGTTTTTTGTGGGGACTGAAAAAAAATGTATAATTTATAAACAAGTTTACGCTGCAGCAGCAAATTGCGGTCTGGATTAATTTAGTGACGAGACGTCAACTTGTCAGAGTGTGTGTCTCTGGGGATGGCTACTGGCAGGGAGCAGAGGCTGCACCTGCGATAACATCAGCAAATCTGTGTCCGCGATCCTTGTCCTTTTATTTGGATTTGATTTTGAACAAACGACACACACGCACGCACGTACACACACACACACACACACACACACACACACACATCCCTGGTTCAGCATAATTGCTCAGACAGACAAGAGGTGTGAGGAGGTGCTTAGGAGACAGACACAAACACAAACAAACAAACAAACAAACAAGCACGCACATTGTTTGGAGAGTTGGCAGTAGGAGATAAGCCTCCTGCTTGTTAGACTGATTAGTTTACTCATTAGTTAAAGGAGAATTTACCCCCAAAACTGTGTTGTTTGATGTTTCCACTTACAGTGTACCTGAACTGTTGCCAAGCAACCAATGTAGGTATTTTCAGCAGCCCCTCATTAGCTTAGCATACTAACTTGAGTGTCCAAAGAAATCCATAGAGCAGATGTTAAAGCCCCAAACCACCTTGCAGTTATTTCTATCCAAGTTCTATCGCCATATTATTATGTGGCCAGATTTGCTCAATCACTTCAATGGACCCATTTCTGCTGATGTTCCACTTGGGAGAGATGCCTAGCTCAGAGGAAGAGGGTGAAATGTCAAAACAGCCATGAAAGAGGTGATTTGACTTTACCGAGCGTGGCCATATGCTAAGTGATTACCTTCTAAAACCCAGACTCATAAAAATATCATAATAATTTCTCTCTTCTGAGGGCTTTCACACTCACACACACACACACACACACACAAATGTATATGCACACACTCACTCACACACACACAAACATGCAAGTGCACAAAAATATACACACACCTTTTTATAACTCTGCATGTTCCAGCCTCTAAAGCTTATTGTCACTTTGACATTTTCACTGCTCTAATATTACCTGAACACAAACACCCCCCCTCTCTACTACTCCCTCCCTCTGTGTTTTCTCCTCCATCACCACCCCTCCTCCCCTCCTTTCTCTTCTCCTTGGCTCAAGCATATTACTGAGGAAATTGGGGCCGATGGAGTCTGTCACTGTGTGACCTAGAGCTAACAGAAGACAATGAGAGAGAATAAGAAAGAGGGGGAAGAGGGGAGGGAAACAGAGACGGTGTGGAAGTGTAGAGGAAACAGGCAGAGGTAATGGGAAGAGGGGAGGGAAACAGAGGGACATAATGGGAAGAAACAGAGAAAGGGACACAGAGAGAGGGAAGGCAAGAGAGAGGGAGAGAGAGAGAGACTCAAATTAAATTCCCATCATGTCAGGGTAGAGCAGGATTCAGTAGTGTTTATTGGCAGCTCCTAGCCTCAGGGAAATTACATTCTGCTGCAGAGCGTGAACACACTGACACACACACACACACACACACACACACACACACACACACACACACACACACACAGATAGACAGCTGTTTGTGTCCTAAGGGGTGGCTGCTGAGGAAACCCACTCACGTCAAGTCACTCTAGACTGGGTGTGTGTGCGTGTGTGTGTGTGGGGGGGGGGGATGAGAATGTTTGGATTGTATCCTCGGCTGGCCCATGTCTCCTCTCTTAAATCAAGATTAACCACTCCAACACAAGTCTGTTTATTTTTTTGTATTTTACCCCCCTTTTTTCTCCCCAATTTTGATCTTGTCTCATCGCTGCAACTCCCCAACGGGCTCGGGAGATGCGAAGGTGGAGTCATGCATCCTCCAAAACATGACCCGCCTAACCACGCTCCTTAACACCCGCCAGCTTAACCCGGAAGCCAGCCGCACCAATGTGTAGGAGGAAACACCATTCAACTGGCGACTGGGGTCAGCCTGCAAGCACCCGGCCTGCCACAAGGAGTCACTAGGGCACGATGAGCAAAGTACATTCCCCCCGGCCAAACCCTCCCCTAACCCGGACGATGCTGGGCCAATTGTGCACCGTTCTATGGGACTCCCGGCCACGGCCGGTTGAGGCACAGCCCAGGAATGAACCCGGGTCTGTAGTAACGCCTCTTAGACCGCTGCGCCACTTGGGAGGCCAACACAAGTCTGTTTTAACGTAGTGACATGAAGATCTAACGTAGCGTTATGAAGGTTTGACGTAGTGTTATGAAGGATGAACTTGTCCCACTCCACCCTGCTGCTTTCCATAAACACCACTCAGGGCAGAACATCTGGAGTTGACATCTGTGACAACATAACTAACATTTCTCTCTCTCCTTCCCTCTTTCTACCCTTTCTCTCTTTATCTCTCTCTCCTTCTCTCTCTCCACTAATTCTCTCTCTCTCTCTCTCTCTCTAGGATCATGGTGAGAGTGCAGCAGGTACAGTGGAGGATGATGGGAAGTCAAGTTTCTTCTGTCAGCTGTGTGAGAAACAGTACCTGAGACACCAGGAGTATGACAACCACATCAACTCCTACGACCACGCACACAGACAGGTAATAAACACACACAAAAACAAAAGCACAAACCTCCCCTCACACACACGCAGACCAAGTCTTCCAGTCTCATCCCACACAGAGAAACATAAAATAAACATAAAGCTGTTGCTTAGTTGTCATTGTTCTGAACATGAATTACAGCAGCCCAGAGTTAAGGCTTTGTTGTTGCCAGCGGCAAAGACATGAAACAAGCTATAGGAGCGGCAGAGAGACTATAGCTATGGGCATTGTACCCACACACACACACACACACAGATGCACGCACACACACATACACACACACACACACACACACACCAGATGAACGTCCAGCAGAAGAGAGATTCCGAGCTGTAATGTAGAGACTAGTGAATGTAGCCTATCTGTGCTGGCTGTTCTGTTTGTGATTCAGAGGCCGCAGCTATAAAGACACGTCTGTTCTTCCTGTCAGGGGTAGTTGTCACGGTTTTGGCCGAGGCTGCCTCTCTTCCTTGCTCGGGCAGGCTTCGGCGTTCGTCGTCTCCGGAATACTAGCTGCCACCGTTGCATGTTTCTATGTTCGTTTGCTTTTGTCTGATTGTTGTTACACCTGTTATCGTTTAGTGTCATTAGTGTCCTATAAGTTCTCGTTGTGTTTGTCAAGTGTTGTGTGTGATTGTTTTACTGTCGTGCGGTTGGCTAGTAATTCTACTGTTTGCTCGGTTGAGCTATTCTCCATAGTGTTTGGAGTGTTTTGTCGCACCTGTTAGTGCGCCCGTTTGTTTTCGCCTACGTGCGGAGTTCTCGCCTCAGGGCATTTTTTCGTGCTTGTGTTTTGTGCATCTACTAAAGTCTTTTGGACTAACGTTCTGCGTCCTGCGCCTGATTCCACCACCACACCCACCTACAGCTACACTGACAGAATCACACACCTTTCGAATGGAATCAGCAGGAGCCGCAGCCGCACAGGAGACGTTGGAGGACAGAGTCCGGGAGCAGAATGACCAGATCCTGCGGATGGGGTCCGCCCTGCAGGAGGTGATCACCACCCTCCAACGCTGGGAGACCCGAGGGACACCCCCAACGCCATCTTCCCTGCCCTCACCATCGGCGAGTCAGCCCCTTCCCGCTCCGGAACCCAGAGGAGTTCGACTCTCGCTCCCGAGGGCCTACGATGGGACCGCTGCCGGGTGTCAGGGCTTCCTTCTCCAGGTGGAGCTTTACCTGGCCACCGTGCACCCGGCGCCCTCGGGACACGAGAGCGTGTCCGCCCTGATCTCCTGCCTTTCCGGCAAAGCGTTAGAGTGGGCCAACGCTGAGTGGAGGAGAATAGACGCTACTACCATCACGTACGCCGAGTTCTCCCGCCGCTTCAGGGCGGTGTTTGACCATCCCCCGGAGGGGAAAGCGGCGGGGGAGCGTCTGTTCTGCCTCCGGCAGGGGAGGAGGAGTGCCCAGGAGTTCGCGTTGGAATTCCGGACTCTAGCGGCGGATGCAGGGTGGAATGAGCGGGCCCTCATTGATCACTACCGCTGTAGTCTACGTGAGGACGTCCGTAGGGAGCTGGCCTGTCGGGACACCAGCCTCTCGTTCGACCAGTTAGTCGACATGTCCATCAGGCTGGATACCCTGCTAGCTACCCGCGGACGTCCCGAGGGGGGTCCGTCCATTTCACCCTCCAGCGCCTCCGAGCCGTGCCCCATGGAGCTCGGGGGCGCTGGCGCTAGAGAGAGGAGGGGTCGGAGTACGAGGGGGTCCATCTCCTGCACCAACTGTGGTCGGGGAGGACACACCGCGGCTAGGTGCTGGGGATGGCCTCCTCGGGGAGAAGACGACAGGCCCCGCACTGGGGAGCCCTTCCAGGTGAGTAGGCGCCCCACTCACCCAGAGCTCTCTGTTGCACACTTCTGTATACCTGTGTGTTTTCCACAGGTCGCACCTCATTCCCAGCATAAGGCGCTGGTAGATTCAGGCGCGGCTGGGAATTTTGTTGATAAGAGATTTTGTTTAGCCTTAGGGATTCCCCTTCTCCCTGTTGACGTCCACTTCCCCGTTCATGCCCTAGATAGCCGTCCGTTGGGTGCGGGCTTGATCAGGGAGGTCACGGCGCCACTTAGGATGTGTACGCAGGGGGGTCATCAGGAGATGATCAAGCTATTTCTGATCGACTCGCCTGCGTATCCGGTGGTGCTGGGCATGCCCTGGTTGAGTACCCATAACCCGTCTATTTCGTGGCAGGAGAGGGCTCTGATGGAGTGGTCTGCCCAGTGTGTGGGTCGATGTTTAGGCGTTTCCGTAGGGGCTACCTCGGTGGAGAGTCCAAACCAGGTGCCCGCATTGCACGTTCCCCCTGAGTATGGGGATTTGGCTATTGTGTTCAGTAAGTCGAGGGCGATGCAGTTGCCTCCCCATAGGCAGGGAGATTGTGCGATAGACCTCCAGGCAGGAGCTGCGCTCCCACGGAGCCATGTGTATCCTCTGTCTCAGGAGGAGAAGAGAGCTATGGAGACTTACATAGACGAATCTCTGAGACAAGGATACATACGGCCCTCCACTTCCCCTGCGTCCTCGAGTTTCTTTTTTGTGAAGAAAAAGGATGGTGGGTTACGCCCGTGCATTGATTACCGTGGTCTCAATCAGATCACGGTGAAGTACAGTTATCCACTCCCGCTGATTGCGACCATGACGGAGTCATTGCACGGGGCGCATTTCTTCACTAAATTAGATCTCAGGAGCGCGTACAACTTGGTGCGCATTAGGGGGGGGCGATGAATGGAAGACAGCCTTTAGTACCACCTCGGGCCATTACGAGTATCTTGTCATGCCATACGGGTTGATGAACGCTCCTTCAGTTTTCCAATCATTCGTGGATGAGATCTTCAGGGACATGCAGGGGCAGGGGGTGGTCGTGTACATAGATGACATTCTCGTGTACTCGCCTACCCGAGTCGAGCATGTGGCCCTGGTGTGCCGAGTGTTGCGGAGGCTGTTGGAGCACGACCTGTATGTCAAGGCAGAGAAGTGTCTGTTTTTCCAGGAGTCGGTCTCCTTTTTGGGTTATCAGTTGTCTGCGTCAGGGGTGAAGATGGAGGTAGACCGGGTGTCAGCCGTGCGTAATTGGCAAACACCAACCACTGTGAAGGAGGTGCAGCAGTTTTTGGGGTTTGCGAATTACTACCGGAGGTTTATCCGGGGTTTTGGACAGGTGGCAGCTCCCATAACGTCTCTTTTGAAGGGGGGTCCGGTGCGTCTGCAGTGGTCAGCCGAGGCGGACAGGGCGTTTGGGAGGCTGAAGGACCTGTTTACCTCGGCCCCGGTGCTGGCGCATCCGGATCCCTCTTTACCATTTCAGGTAGAGGTGGACGCGTCAGAGGCCGGTATAGGAGCCGTGCTTTCGCAACGGTCCGGCGCGCCACCTAAACTCCGCCCCTGGGCTTTTTATTCCAAGAAGCTCAGTCCGGCGGAGCGAAACTATGACGTAGGGGACAGGGAGCTGTTAGCCGTGGTACAGGCCCTAAAGGTGTGGAGGCACTGGCTTGAGGGGGCTCTTTCCTCATTTTGACGGACCACCGTAACCTGGAGTACATCCGGGCAGCGAGGAGACTGAACCCTCGCCAGGCGAGGTGGAATATGTTTTTGACCCGGTTCACATTTAAGATCACGTACATCCCTGGGTCACAGAACGGTAAGGCAGACGCACTGTCTCGGCGGTATGACACGGAGGAGAGGTCCGTGGAGCCCACTCCCATACTGCCGGAGTCTTGTCTGGTGGCACCGGTAGTGTGGGAGGTCGATGCTGAACTCGAGCGGGCGTTACGCACCGACCCTAGTCCACCTCAATGCCCGGAGGGTCGGAAGTACGTTCCGCTCGAGGTTCGGGATCGATTGATCTATTGGGCTCACACGTCACCCTCCTCTGGACACCCTGGTATCGGCCGGACAGTGCACTGTCTTAGTACCAAGTACTGGTGGCCCACGTTGGCGAGGGATGTGAGGGTTTATGTTTCCTCCTGCTCGGTGTGCGCCCAGTGTAAGGCACCTAGACATCTGCCTAGGGGTAAGTTACTACCCCTGCCCGTTCCACAACGACCATGGTCTCACCTCTCGGTGGATTTCCTCACTGACCTTCCTCCTTCACAGGGGAATACCACTATACTGGTCGTTGTGGACCGGTTTTCTAAGGCCTGTCGTTTGCTCCCTATGCCGGGCCTTCCTACTGCCCTGCAAACCGCCGAAGCACTATTCACCCATGTGTTCCGGCACTACGGGGTACCCGAGGATATTGTGTCTGATCGAGGTCCCCAATTTACCTCCAGAGTCTGGAGAGCTTTTATGGAGCGGTTGGGGGTCTCGGTGAGCCTCACCTCGGGTTACCACCCGGAGAGTAATGGGCAGGTGGAACGTGTGAACCAGGATGTGGGTAGGTTTCTTAGAACATACTGCCAGGACCGGCCGGAGGAGTGGGCAAGGTACGTTCCCTGGGCCGAAATGGCCCAGAATTCCCTACGCCATTCCTCCACTAACCTAACCCCTTTCCAATGTGTGTTAGGTTACCAGCCGGTTCTGGCACCTTGGCAGCAGAGCCAGATCGAGGCTCCTGCGGTGGATGAGTGGGTGCGGCGCTCGGAGGAGACATGGAACGCTGCACACGTCCACCTGCAGCGGGCCCTCCGTCGTCAAAAGGCGAGCGCCGATCTCCACCGCAGTGAGGGACCGGTGTACGCACCTGGTGATCGAGTCTGGCTCTCTACCAGAAACCTGCCCCTCCGCCTGCCCTGTCGGAAACTGGGTCGGCGGTTTGTAGGGCCATTTAAAGTCCTGAGAAGATTGAACGAGGTGTGTTACAAATTACAACTACCTGTTGAGTATAAAAGTATTAACCCCTCGTTCCATGTGTCTCTTCTCAGGCCGGTGGTAGCTGGCCCACTCCAAGAAAGTGAGATCAGGGAGACTCCTCTGCCCCCATTGGACATCGAGGGGGCACCGGCGTACTCCGTGCGGTCCATCTTGGATTCGAGACGTCGGATGGGGGGTCTCCAATATCTAGTGGAGTGGGAGGGGTACGGCCCGGAGGAACGGTGCTGGGTGCCGAGGAGAGACATTTTGGACCCGTCTCTCCTGACGGAATTCCATCGTGGGCACCCGACGCACCCTGCTCCGCGTCCTCCTGGTCGTCCCCGAGGCCGGAGTCGGCGCACGTCTGGAGCCGCGCGTCAAGGGGGGGGGTACTGTCACGGTTTCGGCCGAGGCTGCCTCTCTTCCTTGCTCGGGCAGGCTTCGGCGTTCGTCATCTCCGGAATACTAGCTGCCACCGTTGCATGTTTCTATGTTCGTTTGCTTTTGTCTGATTGTTGTTACACCTGTTATCGTTTAGTGTCATTAGTGTCCTATAAGTTCTCGTTGTGTTTGTCAAGTGTTGTGTGTGATTGTTTTACTGTCGTGCGGTTGGCTAGTAATTCTACTGTTTGCTCGGTTGAGCTATTCTCCATAGTGTTTGGAGTGTTTTGTCGCACCTATTGGTGCGCCCGTTTGTTTTCGCCTACGTGCGGAGTTCTCGCCTCAGGGCATTTTTTCGTGCTTGTGTTTTGTGCATCTACTAAAGTCTTTTGGACTAACGTTCTGCGTCCTGCGCCTGATTCCACCACCACACCCACCTACAGCTACACTGACAGTAGTGAAATAAACATGTTGGGATTGTGTAACACTACAGAAACACATTACACACTGATTATGTACTGATTTTTTTGCACTGATCTTAACTTTTTTTGTACATAATGTTTCCGCCATCCTTTCCTTTGACCGAAAAGAAGCTTCTGGACATCAGAACAGAGATCACTTACCTCGATTTGGATGAGGATTTCTACTTCAATGAGTCGGGTTGAGTGACATAGTGCTCATCCCGGACCAGGCCTAAATCCCAGACACTCGAAGATGGACGAGGCAGTGTTATAGAGGCCAGCGTGCTGGATACCTGACGAGACTACGTCGGCGAGTGGATAAACCGCCTCTTCCCTCAAACGTGCAATCACTGGAGAATAAACTGGACAAGCTCTGTTTAAGACTATCCTATTAACGTTCTGTAATATCCTATGTTTCTCTGAGTTGTGGCTGAACAAGGACATGGAAAATATAAATCTAGATGTTTTTTCTATACATCGGCAGGACAGAACAGCAGCGTGGGGTAAACTTTGGGGGGGGGGGGGGGGGGGGGGTCTCTTTATTAACAAGAGCTGGTGCGCGAAGACAGGTTTTCAATTATAATTTTCATAGCCGTCTACTTACCACCACAAACCAATGCTGGCACTAAGACCACACTCAACGAGCTGTATAGGGCCATAAGCAAACAAGAAAATGCTCATCCAGAGGCAGCGCTCCTAGTGGCCGGTGATTTTAATGCAGGAAAAATGAAATCCGTCTTACCTTATTTCTACCAACATGTCACCTGTGCAACTAAAGGCGGAAAAACTCTAGATCATCTTTACTGCGCACACAGAGACACATACAAAGCTCTCCCACTCCCTCACCATCCATTTGGCAAATCTGACCATAACTATATCCTCCTGATTCCTGCTTACAAGCAAAGACTCAAACAGGAAGTACCAGCTCAATACGGAAGTGGTCCGATGAAGCGGATGCTAAGCTACAGGACTGTTTCGCTAGCACAGACTGGAATATGTTCCGGGATTCATCCGATAGCATTAAGTAGATTACCACAGCCATCACCGGCTTCATTAATAAGTGCATCAACGACGTCGCCCCACAGTGACTGTACGTACATATCCCAACCAGAATCCATGGATTACTGTTAACATCCGCACTGAGCTAAAGGCTAGAGCTGCCGCTTTCAAGGAGCGGGACACTAATCTGGACGCATATAAGAAATACTGCTGCACCCTCCGACAAACCATCAAACAGGCAAAGTGTCAATTCAGGACTAAGATCGAATCCTACTACACCAGCTCTGACGCTCGTTGGATGTGGCAGGGCTTGCATACTATCATGGATTACAAAGGCAAACCCAGCCGTGAGCAAGCGTACCAGACGAGCTAAGAATACGTGAGAATGCTGTTCATTGACTACAGTTCAGAGTTCAACACCATAGTGCCCTTCAAGCTCAACACTAAGCTAAGGACCCTGGGACTGAACACCTCCCTCTGCAACTGGATCCTGGACTTCCTGACGGGCCGCCCACAGGTGGTGAGGGTAGGCAACAACACGTCCACCACGCTGACCCTCAACACGGGGCCCCTCAGGGGTGCGTGCTTAGTCCCCTCCTGTACTACCTGTTCACCCACGACTGTGTGGCCGCGCACGACTCCAACACCGTAATTAAGATTGCTGACGACACGACGGTGGTAGGCCTGATCACCCACGACGATGAGACAGCCTATAGGGAGGAGGTCAGAGACCTGGCAGTATGGTGCTGGGACAACAACCTCTCCTTCAACGTCAGCAAGAGAAAGGAGCTGATCGTGGACTACAAGAAACGGAGGGCTGAGCACGCCCCCATTCACATCGACTGGGCTGTAGTGGAGCGGTCGAGAGCTTCAAGTTCCTCAGTGTCCACATCACTAAGGACCTATCATGGTCCATACACACCAACACAGTTGTGAAGAGGGCACAACAACACCTCTTCCCCCTCAGGAGGCTGAAAAAATTGGGCATGGGTCCTCAGATCCTCAAAAAATGATACAGCTGCACCATTGAGAGCGTCTTGACTGGCTGCATCCGACCGTAAGGCGCAACAAAGGATAATGCGTACAACCCAGTACATTACTGGGGCCGAGCTTCCTGCCATCCAGGGCCTCTATACCAGGCAGTGTCAGAGGAAGGCCATACAAATTGTCAAAGACTCCAGCCACCCAAGTCATAGACTGTTCTCTCTGTTACCGCACTGCAAGCGGTACTGGAGCGCCAAGTCTGGGACCAAAAAGTTATTGAACAGCTTCTACCCTCAAGCCATATGACTGCTGAATATGCTACCCTGACTATTTGCATTGACTCCCTTGCACCGGCTCTATGCACACTCACTGGACTCTACCCACACACTCACACATACTACACTGACACTCCAACACACACATACACAAGCACATGCATATTGATGCCACATACACACACACTCACACAGACACACTTTCACACTCTTCACATACGCTGCTGCTACTCTGTTTATTATCTATCCTGATTGCCTAGTCACTTTTACCTCTACCTACAGTGCCTTCAGAAAGTATTCATACACCTTGACTTATTCCACATTTTGTTGTGTTACAGCCTGAATTCAAAATTGATTAAATATATTTTCTGTCTCACCCATCTACACACAATACCCCATAATGACAAAGTGAAAACATGTATTTAGAAGTGTTTGTAAATTTATTGAAAATGAAATATCTCATTTACATAGGTATTCACACCCTTGAGTCAATGCATGTTAGAATCACCTTTGGCAGCGATTACAGCTGTGAGTCTTTCTGAGTAAGTCTTTAAGAGCTTTGTACACCTGGATTGTACAATATTGCCCGTTATTCTTTTCAAAATTCTTCAATCTCTTTCAAATTCATTTTCAAGCCTTTCTTTAGATTTTCAAGCAGATTTAAGTCAAAACTGTAACTCGGCCACTCAGGAACATTCACAGTGTAGATTTGGCCTTGTGTTTTATGTTATTGTCCTGCTGAAAGGTGAATTAATCTCCAAGTGTCTTGACTGAACCAGGTTTTTCTCTAGGATTTTACCTGTCCTTAGCTCCATTCCATTTATTTTTTATCCTAAAAAACTTCCCAGTCCTTAACAATTACAAGTATACTTATAACATGATGCAGCCACCACTATGCTTGAAAATATGGAAAGTAATGTGTTGGATTTGCCCCAAACATAACACTTTGTATTCAGGACATTAAGTTAATTTCTTTGCCAGATTTCTTGCAGTTTAGTACCTTATTGCAAACAGGATGCATGTTTTGGATTATCTTTATTCTGTACAGGTTTCCTTCTTTTCACTCTGTCATTTAGATTAGTATTGTGGAGTAACTACAGTGGCTTGCGAAAGTTTTCACCCCCCTTGGCATTTTTCTTATTTTGTTGCCTTACAACCTGGAATTAAAATAGATTTTTTGGGGGGTTTGTATCATTTGAATTACACAACATGCCTACCACTTTGAAGATGCAAAATATTTTCTTTTGTGAAACAAACACGTGAGAGTGCATAACTATTCATCCCCCCAAAGTCAATACTTTGTAGAGCCACCTTTTGCAACAATTACAGCTGCAAGTCTCTTGGGGTATGTCTCTGTAAGCTTGGTACATCTAGCCACTGGGATTTTTGCCCATTCTTCAAGGCAAAACTGCTCCAGCTCCTTCAAGTTGGATGGGTTCCGCTGGTGTACAGCAATCTTTAAGTCATACCACAGATTCTCAATTGGATTGAGGTTTCTGCCATTCCAATACATTTAAATGTTTCCCCTTAAACCACTTGAGTGTTGCTTTAGCAGTATGCTTAGGGTCATTGTCCTGCTGGAAGGTGAACCTCCGTCCCAGTCTCAAATCTCTGGAAGACTGAAACAGGTTTCCCTCAAGAATTTCCCTGTATTTAGCGCCATCCATCATTCCTTCGATTCTGGCCAGTTTCCCAGTCCCTGCCGATGAAAAACATCCCCACAGCATGATGCTGCCACCACCATGCTTCACTGTGGGGATGGTGTTCTCGGGGTGATGAGAGGTGTTGGGTTTGCGCCAGACATAGCGTTTTCCTTGATGGACAAAAAGCTCAATTTTAGTCTCATCTGACCAGAGTACCTTCTTCCATATGTTTGGGGAGTCTCCCACATGCCTTTTGGCGAACACCAAACGTGTTTGCTTATTTTCTTCTTTAAGCAATGGCTTTTTTTCTGGCCACTCTTCCATAAAGCCCAGCTCTGTGGAGTGTACGGCTTAAAGTGGTCCTATGGACAGATACCCCAATCTCCGCTGTGGAGCTTTGCAGCTCCTTCAGGGTTATCTTTGGTCTCTTTGTTGCCTCTCTGATTAATGCCCGCCTTGCCTGGTCCGTGAGTTTTGGTGGGCGGCCCTCTCTTGGCAGGTTTGTTGTGGTGCCATATTCTTTCCATTTTTTTATAATGGATTTAATGGTGCTCCGTGGGATGTTCAAAGTTTCTGATATTTTTTTACAACCCAACCCTGATCTGTACTTCTCCACAACTTTGTCTCTGACCTGTTTGGAGAGCTCCTCGGTCTTCATTGTGCCACTTGCTTGGTGGTGCCCCTTGCTTAGTGGTGTTGCAGACTCTGGGGCCTTTCAGAACAGGTGTATATATACTGAGATCATGTGACAGATCATGTGACACTTAGATTGCACACAGATGGACTTTATTTAACTAATTATGTGACTTCTGAAGGTAATTGGTTGCACAGGATCTTATCTAGTGGCTTCATAGCAAAGGGGGTGAATACATATGCACACACCACTTTTCCATTATTAATATTTTTGAATTTTCTGAAACAAGTTATTTTCTTCATTTCACTCCACCAATTTGGACTATTTTGTGTATGTCCATTAAATCTAAATAAAAATCCATTTAAATTACAGGTTGTAATAAAACAAAATAGGAAAAACACCTAGGGGGATGAATACTTTTGCAAGGCACTGTACAATGTTGTTGATCCATCCTCAGTTTTCTCCTATCACAGCCATTAAACTCTAAGTGTTTTAAAGTCACGATTGGCCTCATGGTGAAATCCCTGAGCGGTTTACTTCCTCTCCAGCAACTGAGTTAAGAAGGACACCTGTATCTTTGTAGTGACTGGGTGTATTGAATTTATAACTTCAACATGCTCAAAGGGATATTCAATGTCAGATCTACCAATAGATGCCCTTCTTTGCGAGGCATTGGAAAACCTCCCTGGTCTTTGTGGTTGAATCTGTGTTTGAAATTCTCGGCTGAGGGACCTTACATATAATTGTATGTGTGGGTTACAGAGATGAGGTAGTCATTCAAAAATCATGTTAAACAATATTATTGCACACAGAGTGAGTCCCTGCAACTTATTTTGTGACTTGTTAAGCACATTTTTTCTCCTGAATTTATTTAGGCTTGCCATAATAAAGGAGTTGAATACTCATTAACTCAAGACATTTTGGATTTTCATTTGAAATTAATTTCATATTTTGCAATTATTTGCAATTTCTTCTTACTTTTTAACTATGCATTGTTGGGAAAGGGCTCATAAGCATTTCACGGTGTCATGCCCTGGCTCGGGGGACTCTCGTATGTTGAGCCAGGGTGTTAGTTTCTATGTTTTGTGTTGTAGGTTGTGGGTCTATGTTTATATTTCTATGTTGGCCTGAGTGACTCCCAATCAGAGGCAACGAGTGTCAGCTGGTTGTCTCTGATTGGGAGCCATATTTAACTGTCTGTCTTTCACTTTGTGTTTGTAGTTTCTTGTTCCGTGTTGGTTGGTTTATGTAACCAGGGACGTCACGTTTCGTTTTTGTTGTTTTGATCGTGTGATCATCTTGATATAATAAAATGTTCGCATTCAACGCTGCGCTTTGGTCCTCCTCTCTCATAGACGATCGTGACAGAAGAAACCACCAAGATGTGACCAAGCAGCGTGTCCAGGAGCCATCGCCAGGGAGATCCCTAACAGATCTCCTTCGCCTCCTCGACTGGGTCAAGCCGAGTGAGGAAGAGAAGGGCTTGACATTATGGCAGAAGGGCGAAAGGCTGGCGAGGGACATGGAGACCTGGTCCACGGGTAGGGGAGACGCCCAGAAATTTTATAGGGGGGGGGCTAACGCCGTGGACGACGGGCCAGCAGGAGACCGCGGCAGAGCGGCCCAGCGGATTGGCAGAGGAGGCCGCCAGGTTACGGGGGCCACTGGTCGAAGAGGGGGTGGAAGATGTAGAGGCACGGCGAGAGGTACTGGCGTGTGTTGCCAGTCCGGTCCGGCCTGTTCCTGATCCCCACGTAGGGCCAGTGGTGTGTGTTCCCAGTACGGTCCGGCCCGTTCCTGCTCTCCGCACCAAGTCTGTGGTGCGCGTCGCCAGCCCAGTCCGGCCCATTCCTGCTCCCCGCACCAAGTCTGTGGTGCGTTTCGCCAGCCCAGTCCGGCCCGTTCCTGCTCTCCGCACCAAGTCTGTGGTGCGCGTCGCCAGCCCAGTCCGGCCCATTCCTGCTCCCCGCACCAAGTCTGTGGTGCGCGTCGCCAGCCCAGTCCGGCCCGTTCCTGCTCTCCGCACCAAGTCTGTGGTGCGTTTCGTCAGCCCTGTCCGGCCCGTTCCTGCTCTCCGCACCAAGTCTGTGGTGCGCGTCGCCAGCCCAGTCCGGCCCATTCCTGCTCCCCGCACCAAGTCAGTGGGGCGTTTCGTCAGCCCGGTTTGGCCCACTCCTGCTCCCCGCACCAAGTCAGGGGTGCGTTTCGTCAGCCCGGCTCGGGCCGTCCCTGCTCCCCACACCAAGCCAGTGGTGTGCGTCGTCAGTCCGGCACAGCCCGTGCCTGTTCCACTGGTGCCTGGTTCGGCACGGGTCAGCTGCTTCACGCCGGAGCTAGAGCAATCCGCTCCACTAGTGTGCAGTCCAGCTCCGGTCAGCAGGGCCAGACCGGACCAGGGGTACTTTGGGGGGTTAGAGAGCGAGTGGGGATCATGCCCGGAGCCGGATCCGCCGCCTAGGCGGAGTGCCCACCCGGTCCCTCCCCTGTTGTGTTTGGTTGGCGCGGTCGGAGTCCGCGCCTTTAGGGGGGGGGTACTGTCACGCCCTGGCTCGGGGGACTCTCGTATGTTGAGCCAGGGTGTTAGTTTCTATGTTTGTGTTGTAGGTTGTGGGTCTATGTTTATATTTCTATGTTGGCCTGAGTGGACTCCCAATCAGAGGCAACGAGTGTCAGCTGGTTGTCTCTGATTGGGAGCCATATTTAACTGTCTGTCTTTCACTTTGTGTTTGTGGTTTCTTGTTCCGTGTTGGTTGGTTTATGTAACCAGGGAGTCACGTTTCGTTTTTTTGTTTTGATCGTGTGATCATCTTGATATAATAAAATGTTCGCATTCAACGCTGCGCCTTGGTCCTCCTCTCTCGTAGACGATCGTGACACACGGTAAGGTCTACACCTGTTGTATTCGACGCATGTGACAAATAAAATGTTTCTTCTATTCCACTTCTTCACTCCTCTACTCTCAGGTGGTCCAGTCACTGACAGATCCGCTCTTTCTATGATATACATAAGTCCTGTCACACACACACACACATTATTGTACAGCTAACCTTGTACAGTCCCATTCAAAATCCTATTTTCCCTTATCCTAACCCTAACCTTAACCCCAAAACCTAACCTTAACTCTAACCCTAACTTCTAACCCTAACTTTAAACCTAATTCTAACACTAATTCTAACCTTAACCCTAAACCGCCTAGAAATAGCATTTGACGCAGTTGGTCAAATTTAGTTTGTTTACTATTCTTGTGGGGACTTCTGGTCCCAACAAGTATAGTTAAACACGTCCACACACACACACACACACACACACAGCTGGATAGAGAGTTAGTTATGTATTATGTATGCATCTGAGTAGGAACATGATTAATATTTCCCACAGACCAGCATTTGGCATCAAAGACTCAAAGCTCCTTACTGTATGCTACCTACACACACACGTACGGAGGCACGCACACATGAATACACCAGTGTAGACATGCATGCATGCACTCAAACACACAGCAGCAGTAGAACACATCAAAGCCGTCTATAGTGAGCTGACAGTGGGATGTTAAGCAGTGAGTGATAACACACAGAGACACTCGTTTGTGTTCTGCTCACTACAGATTAACCTGAAAACTGTCAACGTGTGGGTGTGTTCCTGGATTAGCAGGATGAATTTATCTGACATTGATTAGCAGCCACGGGAGGTGTGATGGTGAGAGTGTGCATGAATAAATGCGTGCTCATTTGAGTGTGCCTTTAGGGTTTACTGTATGTGTGTGATTTTGTGAGAGCAAGGGAGAGAGTGAGAGAGGAGGGGTAGAAGGAGTAAGGAGGGATGAGAGAGAGAGAGAGAGAGAGAGAGAGAGAGAGAGACTGAAGAGAGGAGGGAAGGTTTGACTGAACGACATGTCAGGCAGAGTTGCAGAAAATAATCAGCTGTTGGGATAGATAGTTAGTGGCTAGACAAAATGATAGATCTGTTGTTAGATCAAATGGAGACTACTAGATAGTAAGTTAGTTGTAAATATGATCAACTAATGAGAGAGAGAGAGAGAGAGAGAGAGAGAGGGAAAGAGGGAAAGAGGGAGGGGAGACGGGAGAGGAGAGAGGCTGATAGAATAGAGGAGAGTGAAGCAGCTATTGTCAGACACCTTACATCCCTCTACAGCCTGATGACAGACAGACACACACACACACACACCTGCCAAGCGCAGATAAAGGCGGGATGAAAAAGTATTAAAAAAGGAAGGCAGAGAAAGAGAGAAAGAGACATGAATCACTATTTCCCTGAAAGAGCTGGCACACCTGAAGGAGCAGACCGATGGAGAGGAGACACATACACACACATACACAGTGCAGTGATCTGTTTCACAGTGCAGTGATCTGTTACAGAGACGGTGCTTGCTGTGATTTTTGGAGTTCCAGGTTCAGTTCTAGAGGGTTCTACGGAGTTAGATAGGAGTTCCATGGCAGTTCTAGAGGGTTCTATGGAGTTAGAGGGGAGTTCCAGGTTCAGTTCTAGAGGGTTCTAGGGAGTTAGATAGGAGTTCCAGGGCAGTTCTAGATGATTCTAAGGAGTTAGAGGGATTTTAGGGTCTTCCAATGCAGTTCCTGTAGTGCTGTCTATGCTTTATTTATCCTATCAGTGGTCTGTAGTTTCAGTAACAACAGCATCTCCCTGCCATACTTCAGTCAATGTCTTCAATGTTAGATTTCAATAAACAGGATTATCACTGAGATTTGCGTAATGAAGTAAGTTTCCTAAATGATCCTCTTATGATGAAGTCCATATTAATGTGACAGATGGTTGCTGGCATTTAGGCTGATGATTGAAGGGTTGATACATGGAAACCTGCTGAGAGATGACAACCTGACAGACTGCAACACTCATCATCATTAGACTTATATCACTGTCAGTACTCAATCACCACCATTCTCCCTGTCATACAGTTTCTATGACAGATGATGTAGAAACAACATGTTTCTCTCCATCAGAGTCTGTAGACACACACTTTTGATTGATACAATTCACACTCAGAGATAGTTCTTCCCACAGACAGAGGGAGCTGAAACAGAGTTTCCACACGACATAGACACACACACACGCACACACACATTGACCCTTTCCTCTCCTCCCTGTAGAGACTGAAGGAGTTGAAGCAGAGGGAGTTTGCTCGGAACGTTGCGTCTAAGTCGTGGAAGGACGACCGCAAGCAGGAGAGAGCTCTGAGACGCCTGCACCAACTAGCACTGCTACGACAACAGACACACAGGTACGTCTGTGTGTGTGTGTGTGTGTGTGTGTGTGTGTGGTTGTGTGTGTGGGTGGGAAATCTCTATGATACACACATACTGTACACATACGCTCACGTGCACACACTCTCTGGTCCTCAGAGTGACGGATGTAAGAGCTGGCCTAGATACTGTAGGCACGAGCTGAGTTAATATAACATGAACACACACAGTAATCTGCATAATATGGACAGTGTTTGGCATTTTCACTCATTTTATATTTATTCTGTTCTCTGCTCTGCTATCCTCTCGTCTCCACCTCTCCTCACCTCTGCACCAGGGTACCAGGCCAGGTTGTTAGGTTCCGAGGGACAGTGAAAGCTGAGATCCAGCATTCAGAGAGACACTGTGGAGAGAAAGACTACAGACCAGGGGACCACCATGTCCCCTTGACCCAAACAGGGTTAATCCATACCACAGGGAACTCCCAGCGACCCGCTTTTACCCTACCTCTAACTAAGCCCCAGACCATCCCTCTCAGCCTCCAGGGAGAGGACTCCCCCCATCTCCAGACCAAGCCTCTCTCCCCTTCCCAGCCCCAGCAGCCAGAGGATCCTACCCACATACCCATTTTCCCAGGAGGGCCCTTCCCACCCTCCCCACCCCCAGCCTTGCATTCCAGATGTGGACCTTCTCTGGAGGATCCCCAGCCTCGCCTGAACAGCTCCCTCCAAGACCCTGCCTTTCCGTGGGGCAGAGACATGGGAAGGGTGGGGGTCTCCTTCTGTTTCTCCAGGAGGGGCCCGAGGCTAGAGCCATCTGCCTCTGTCTTCTCAGACCAGCAAGATGAGGAGGGGAGAGGAGGAGGAGGGCAGATGAAGGAGAAGAGAAGGGGAGGAGATGAGTTACGGCTGCATCACCCAGACAACCTGTTAATAGGGCAACCAACCAACAGCCTTCACCCCGGAAACAAGAAAGACCCTTCAGGCGGGGAAGAGGGGGAGGAGAGAAGAGAGAAGAGAGGAGGGGAGGAGAGAGACAGGTCCTCTGCTAGCCATGACCCAGGCTGTCCTTCCTGCAACGCCAGACTGAGAGAAACAGACCAGAGCCCTGAACACGGTACAGCAGATGAGAGGGAAGAGAGGGAGGAGGGGGAAAAGAGGGAGGAGAGGAACGGGGGTACAGAGCACAGACAACAGGGCCATGAGGTGAATCAGACTCCTATGTCTTCTTATCTCCATGTGGTTGCCAGAGATGGATCCACACGTCTGAGATGGCCAGTAGAATTGCTGCAGTTTACCACAGCCAAACCCCACCTCTCCTACAGCTGCAAGCCCACACACTGGCAACCCCACACCAACCCACTACACTGTAACCCTGAACACAACCACAACCACTGTCAAACCAAGTTACACTGTAACCACTCAGCAAGCCAGCAGGAGACAGAGAAACACACAGAGGAGTCTGACTCCCTCATGTTCTCTAGCTCCCAGCCTCCTCCTCAGGACACAAAAAATGTAGAATACAATACAGATCTATATACAGAGACAGGCGGGACAGATGAGGGAGTCACACACTCATCATCCTGTCACGTTGTAGAGAAGACAGAAGCACATGGAGTGACAGCAGCCTTCCAGGCAGAAGCAACAGTGCCAGAGAGTGGAGGTGAATCTGGGTTCACTCCGCCTGTAGGAGAGGCGTGGCACCACCCCCTCTTCGGGAACGGTGACCCCCTTTGCGGTGACAACACTCACACAAACCCCCACAATCCCCAGGGGGGCAGATTAGGAGGACATGTGAGACAGGAGAGAGAACGAGCCGTCAGAACCCCCAGGCCTAAATTAGAGGCTGTCATCCAGCCCTGCGCCGCCGAGTGTGAGTGTGCAAGCGAGGTGAGGTGTGTATGTACGCACGCTGCCAGCTCGTGCATACACTCCGTGGGCGGTTCAGTAAGCACTCCGACAGATGTGTCATGCCAAAATGTAAACGACAGCACAAAGAAGAAGAGGAGAAACGACAGCACAAAGAAGAAATTGAGAGGAGAGAGGTATAATGGGACTTCAAACGAGTGCAAGGGAGATCGGCAGCGTCTTAGGAGTGTCATAACCTCTGTTTCCACCTGGTGGGGCGGAAAGAGGAGATGTGACGGAGACAGAGAGGGAGAAGGAGACAGGGAAATAGAGTGGGAGGGAGAGACAGGCGAAAAGCGGAGATGTGACGGAGAAGGAGACAAGGAAATAGAGTGGGAGGGAGAGACAGGCGGAAAGAGGGGAAGAAAGGCAGGGGGGAAGAGGGGGAAGAGGAGGAGGGGTGGGACTCTGTGCCTGGTGGGAGAGTGGGACTCTGAGTCTGTACCCTGCTCTGACAGACAGAGGCCTCACAGGAGTCACAGTAGAGACCAACATCACTATCACTATAACTCTGCCTCCCAGTTCAACACAGCACAGAGAGTCACAGAGAGGACAGAGTACTACAGCACAGAGTCTCAGCTGTATAGAGAGGGAGAGGGGGAGAGAGAGAGATTTGGAGAGGTAGAGAGAGGAGAAAGGGAGGATTGGCCTTTCTACTGGAGTTCAGACTCCTCTCTGTGTTCTACATCCGGGTCGCCCTGGGAAAAGGCTCACAACCTCCCAGTGGCATATGGTGGTCTCCACGATTACAGCAGGGGCTACCCCGTCTACAGTCGCCATGACAACATCCCTGGTAGCAACATTACCTGCAGCCCAGTGAGGAAGAGTAAACACATCCAAAGAAACAGGAAATACATTAATAGGAAGAGGAAGTGGTCAGAGAGTGAGGAGTGGGAGAGAACAGAGAGAGGGAGGAGGGAGAGCTGGGATGGAGGGAGTAGAGGCTGTTGGGAGAGAGGGAGCAGGGAGAGGGGTGGTAGGGAGAGAGGGAGCAGGGAGAGGGGTGGTAGGGAGAGATGGAGCAGGGAGAGGGGTGGTAGGGAGAGAGGGAGCAGGGATAGGGGGAGTAGGAGGCAGGGTTGGGTAAGCAGGGAATCCAGCCCTGGAGGAGTCAGTGGAGGGGGCTGGCGGAGGTATCTCTCGACCCCCAGTCACAGGACTCTGGAGAGGGACAGGAGATGGAGGTCTAGTCCTGGGGAGGGAGAGAGAGAGGTCTGTGACAGGGGACCAGGGGACTCAAGCCCAGACAGATGTACCTGGGGCAGCAGTGACAGTATGGAGGACAGGGGGACATACTGCTGGGAGGACAGATATAGCTGGGAGGACTACTGGGAGAGACAGAGGTCCACTGAAGGTAGAGAGAGCTGGAGCAGCTGGGAGAAGGGATTCAGACCTAGCCCCAGCCCCAGACCTGAGTGTTTTAGCTGGGACTGGGTTACCAGATGCCCTGACCATAGACACAGCCCCAGCCCTGGCTCCCAGTCTGTCCCCAGTGTGCAAGTTACCAGATGCCCCATCTCCAGCCCCAGTCCCTGGCCTAATTCTAGCCCTGACTGGCTGCCCCGACGGCCCAGCCCTGGCTCCTGTAGCAGCAGCACCAGTGTGTCAGACCTAAGTGGGGGGTGGAGTAGCGTTAGTACCCGCTCAAGACTAACCCTGACTGGGAGAAAAACAACAGGGGTGCCCAGGCGAGCACCATCTCCCTCACCCACCAAGGAGAAACACCAAGCCCCCAGCCTCAAACCTACTCCTCCTAGACCTCTGCCCAGCACTGATACCACCCATCCACAGGACAGGAGCCCCAACCCCACAGCACAGCCTACATGTCTCTCAGACAGAGAGTCCAAAGCCTCCCCACAGCCCAGAGAGGGGAACCCCAGGAGAACTCTGCTACTGCCACTTATAGGGAAACTACCAGCGATCAGGAGAGGAACTAAGAGACGATGGGCAGAAAGAGAGAGGGAGGGCCCTGACCAAACAGAGAAACAGGACCACAATCAAGACCAGGTCCAGGACCAGGACCACAACCAAGGGAAGGGGAGTATGAAGAATGGAGCAGTCCCAAGTGGTCGACCGTGCCCTCAACCCCTCTCGTCTCAGAGCCCTGAGAAAACTGGAGAGGACACGTCCTGTCCTTCCCTGACATCACATCCTGCTGTGACCTCATATCCTGTCCTAACTTTATCTCACAGGGGTCAGTGGTCACAAGGCCCCTCCCCTCCTCTGTCTCAACAGCTAATCAGCTTCAGCGCTGAGGAGATGGACAAGTATCGCTGTCTGCAGGAGCAAGCACGAGAGCACATGCAGAGACTACTACTGGGGACAGAGACACACACACCGGCACACACACCACCTACCCCCTCCCCAGAGCCATACACACACCCCACACACACTCATGTAGCACACACTCAAGAGCAAAACACACACTCTACTTCCCTAAATACCTCTCTAGAGCTAGACACACACCAGGTACAAACACAGCTCTTACAGACACACCCTACCCCCAGCCTCCCCCCTCCTCATCCCCCTGTCCCCGTACCGCAGCCTCTAATGACCCACCCTCCTCCACCCACCCTTCATCATTTCATTCTACAACACACAGCTTTCAGTATGGCACTCTCATCACCCTCCTCTACCTCTTCTTCTCTCGCCCACCACACCTCACTCCCTCATCACCTGCCCCTCCTACACTCCCCTCTCCCCCATCCCCACCTCCCTCCATTCTCCATCTCCTCTATCTTTCCCTCCATCCTACTCTCCCATCCTCCTCTACATCTCCTCCCTCCCTCCCCTGCCTTCCACCCCTCCCCCCTCACACTGCCCCCACCGAGACCACCGTATCCAGAAAGAATTTGGTCATTGAGTTTTCAACAAAAATAATGATGATGCTCTCTGATGACATCACATAGTAATACAATGCCATGTTAGCAACCCCTGGACAATAATGTCCCATACAGTATAACAATCCACTGAATTTTCAGAATTTGTGTGTGTGTGTGTGTATGTTTTTGTATGAGTGCATGCGTGTGTGTACATGTTGTCGCTGTCGGATGAAAACCTTTTAACTCAATTTTTGCCAATTTTCATGTTTTTACATGTATTGGAAGCATTAACTCCCCTCAATGTTCTCTGAACATTTCATGACTCTAGGACTAAGAAAATGTATTCAAAATAGCTTCTGAAGTTTCATAATTGTATGTTTGTTAATAAATAAATAAAATCAATTTCCTGAAAAGTTTCTGTTTTGGAGAGGAGGTTTTCCTTCGACAGCGACTGTGTGAGCGCAAGAGAGAAGCTCCTTTTGATCCTCATGTTTCCATCCCTCCCCATTCAAGTATGAATCAAGGGAAACCGTTCACCTGCTAAAACTAACTGTCTTTCTCTCATCTCTTTCTTCCGCTCTGAACGTCAGACATACTGGCTGTCTTTTGATGTACCGTCATACTGGCTGTCTTTTGAAGTACCGTAACACCTGAGAGAGAGAGAGAGAGAGAGAGAGAGAGAGAGAGAGAGAGAGAGAGAGAGAGAGAGAGAGAGAGAGCGACAGACAGACAGACGCCCAGGCCGTGAGCAGAGCAAAGGGCCAACCCCCACTCCTACACCCGCCCAAGCCCCATTCAGCGACCTAAGAGGCATGTATCAGATGCCCAGCATGCTCTGCTCACACCTATTAGTCTGAGGCATAACCACACAAAGCACAACACTGAACACTATGGAACACAAAGCTTTTACTATAACATGCTGGAATATCCAAGGTCTGAGGTCATCTGCCTTTGGCCTAAAGAGCAGGAACCCAGACTTCACCAAAGACATCAGAAATACAGACATTGTTATCCTACAAGAAACATGGTATAGAGGAGACAGACCCACTGGTTGCCCTCTATGTTACAGAGACCTGGTAGTCCCATCCACCAAACTACCAGGAGTGAAAAAGGGAAGAGACTCAGTGGGTATGCTAATTTGGTGTAGATCAGACCTAGCCCACTCTACTGAATTGATCAAAACAGGAGCATTTTACATTTGGTTAGAAATAACAGAGAAAAATATCCTCCTGTGTGCCACCTGTATCCCCCCACTAGAATCCCCATACTTTAATGACAACAGCTTCTCCATCCTAGAGGGGGAGATCAACCATTTCCATGTTCTAGTCTGTGGTGACCTAAACAGCAGAACCAGTCAAGGACCTGACCCTCTCAGCACACAGGGGGACAAACACCTACCTGGAGGTGACAACATTCCCTCCCCAATATGCCCCCCTAAACACAACTACGACAACCAACAAAAACGGGTCATAAATCCTGCAGCTCTATCACACGCTTGGTCTGTACATAGTCAATGGTAGGTTTTGAGAGGACTCCTACGGTAGGTACACTTACAGCTCATCCCTTGGCAGTAATCCCTCTTAGACAACTTTCTGGACAAAACATTTCACTGCAATAGTGAAGGTGTAAATCTGCAGTAGAAAGCCTAAACTGTATATTTGACCTTTCAGCTTCCCTATCAAATAAAACAATTCAAAGCAGACAACCTAAGAAAATTAACAACAATGACAAATGGTTTGATGAAGAACGCAAAAACCTAAGAAAGACATTTAGAAACCTATCCAATCAAAAACATAGAGACCCCAAAAATCTGAGCCTATGTCTTCACTATGGTGAAACATTAAAACACTACAGAAATACACTAAGGCAAAAGAAGGGACAGCACGTCAGAAATCAGCTCAATGTAATTGAAGAATACATAGAATCCAACCACTTCTGGGAACAACACAAAGAGCTATCTATCCAAAATGGAGATGTATGGATAAACCACTTCTCCAATCTTTTTGGTTATACACTCTTAGAAAAAATTGTTCCAAAAGGGGTTCTTCAGCTGTCCCCATAGGAGAACCCTTTTTGGTTCCAGGTAAAATCTTTTTGGGTTTCATGTAGAACTCTCTGTCGAAAGGGTTCTACATGGAATTGAAAAGGGTTCTACTTGGAACCAAAAATAGTTATTCAAAGGGTTCTCCTATGGGGGCAGCTGAAGAACCCTTTTAGGTTCTAGATATACACACTTAGAAAAAAAGGTGCTAACAAAGAACAAAGAGCAAAAACACATGCATGATAAATTACAAATCTTGAATCAACTATTAAAGACTACCAGAACCCACTGGATTCTCCAATTACATTGAATGAACTACAGGACAAAATACAACCCTCCAACCCCAAAAGGCCTGTGGTGTTGACAATATCCTTAACAAAATACTAAAATATGCAGACCACAAATTCAAATTAGCTATTCTTAAACTATTTAACATTATCCTCAGCTCTGGCACCTTCTCCAATATTTGGAACCAAGGCCTGATCACCCCAATCCACAAAATTGGAGACAAATCCAACCCCAAAAACTACCATGGGATATGCGTCAATAGCAACCTCTGTAAAATCCTCTGCAGCATCATCAACAGCAGACTCCTACATTTACTTAGTGAAAACAATGTCCTGAGCAAATGTCAAATTGGGTTTTTACAAAATTACCGTACGACAGACCACGTATACACCCTGCACACCCATTTTTGACAAACAAACAGAACAAAAGCAGTCTTCTCATGCTTTGTTGATTTTAAAAAAAGCTTTTGACTCAATTTGGCACGAGGGTCTGCTATAGAAATTGATGAAAAGCGGTGTTGGGGGAAAAACATACAACATTATAAAATGAATGTACACAAACAACAAGTGTGCAGTTAAAATTGGCAAAAAACACAGACTTCTTTCCTCAGGGCTGTGGGGTGAGACAGAGATGCAGCTTGAGCCCCACCCTCTTCAACATACCGTGCCTTGCAAAAGTATTCATCCCCCTTGGCGTTTTTCCTATTTTGTTGCATTACAACCTGTAATTTAAATCGATTTTTATTTGGATTGTATGTAACGGACATACACAAAATAGTCCAAATTGGTGAACTGAAATGAAAAAAATAACGTGTTAAAAACAAATCCCCCCCAAAAATTGCGGAAAAGTGTTGGGTGCATATGTATTCACCCACTTTGCTATGAAGCCCCTAAATAAGATCTGGTGCAACCAATTACCTTCAGAAGTCACATAATTAGTTAAATAAAGTCCACCTGTGTGCAATCTAAGTGTCACATGATCTGTCACATGATCTCAGTATATTTACACCTGTTCTGAAAGGCCCCAGAGTCTGCCACACCACTAAGCAAGGGGCACCACCAAGCAAGCGGCACCATGAAGACCAAGGAGCTCTCCAAACAGATCAGGGACAAAGCTGTGGAGAAGTACAGATCAGGGTTGGGTTGTAAAAAAATATCAGAAACTTTGAACATCCCATGGAGCACCATTAAATCCATTGTTAAAAAATTGAAAGAATATGGCACCACAACAAACCTGCCAAGAGAGGGCCGCCCACCAAAACTCACGGACCAGGCAAGGCAAGCATTAATCAGAGGCAACAAAGAGACCAAAGATAACCCTGAAGGAACTGCAAAGCTCCACCGTGGAGATTGGAGTATCTGTCCACAGGACCACTTTAAGCCGTACACTCCACAGAGCTGGGCTTTACGGAAGAGTGGCCAGAAAAAAAGCCATTGCTTAAAGAAAAAAATAAGCAAACACGTTTGGTGTTCGCCAAAAGCCATGTGGGAGACTCCCCAAACACATGGAAGAAGGTACTCTGGTCAGATGAGACTAAAATTGAGCTTTTTGGCCATCAAGGAAAACGCTATGTCTGGCGCAAACCCAACACCTCTCATCACCCCGAGAACACCTTCCCACAGTGAAGCATGGTGGTGGCAGCATCATGCTGTGGGGATATTTTTCATCGGCAGGGACTGGGAAGGATGGATGGCGCTAAATACAGGGAAATTCTTGAGGGAAACCTGTTTCAGTCTTCCAGAGATTTGAGACTGGGACGGAGGTTCACCTTCCAGCAGGACAATGACCCTAAGCATACTGCTAAAGCAACACTCAAGTGGTTTAAGGGGAAACATTTAAATGTATTGGAATGGCCTAGTCAAAGCCCAGACCACAATCCAATTGATAATCTGTGGTATGACTTAAAGATTGTTGTACACCAGCGGAACCCATCCAACTTGAAGGAGTTGGAGCAGTTTTGCCTTGAAGAATGGGAAAAAATCCCAGTGGCTAGATGTGCCAAGCTTATAGAGACATACCCCAAGAGACTTGCAGCAGTAATTTCTTCAAAAGGTAGCTCTACAAAGTATTGACTTTGGGGGGGGTGAATAGTTATGCACGCTCAAGTTCTGTTTTTTTGTCTTATTTCTTGTTTGTTTCACAATAAAAAATATTTTGCATCTTCAAATTGGTAGGCATGTTGTGTAAATCAAATTATACAAACCCCCAAAAAATCTATTTTAATTCCAGGTTGTAAGGCAACAAAATAGGAAAAATGTCAAGGGGGGTAAATACTTTCGCAAGCCACTGTATATATCAAAGAATTGGCGAGGGCACTAGATCAGTCTGTAGCAACCGGCCTTACCCTACTATACTCTGAAGTCAAATGTCTACTGTTTGCAGATGATCTGGTGCTTCTGTCCCCAACCAAGGCGGGCCTACAGCAGTACCTAGATCTTCTGCACAGATTCTGTCAGACCTGGGCCTTGACAGTGAATCTCGGTAAGACAAAAATAATGGTGTCCAAAAAAGGTCCAGTTCCCTTGACCACAAATACAAATTCTATCTAGACACCATGTCCCTCGAGCACACAAAGAACTATACCTACCTCAGCCTAAACATCAGCACCACAGGTACCTTCCACAAAGCTGTGAACGCTCTGAGAGACAAGGAAAGAAGGGCCTTCTAGGCCATTAAAAGGAACATAAAATACGACTGCCCAATTAGGATCTGGCTAAAAACACTGGAAG